ACCGTTGCGCGCATGCTTAGCAGCACGAGATAGCGAGATGTTGCGATGATGTCCCTCCGAGATTGATCCGTCAGCTTGAGCGTGGGAAAGTCGGGAATGCTCGATCACCGAGGGCGTCGAAGCTTCGTCGGCAGATTCCGCGCTGAGGTCGGGTGCTGCATTGAGGCCGTAGGATCCTCCGAACGAATCCTTGTGGTTCAGGCTACGGTTTCCGCGGGTGACGTAGGACCTGCGCATCGAGCTGTCTGCGGCCGATGCGAGCGGTGCAGCGGAGGCATCGTTGTGGCTGGCAGAGCGCGATGAAAAGGATGCCAGCTCTTCATGCGCCTCGCTGCTCGCGGGGCTCTGCGAGGTTCCGGTGCTAAAGGAAGACTGGTTCTGCAGGCGCGAAGCCGTGAATCCGTGCGAAGGGATGTAAGTGCGAGCTGCGGCGTAATCTCCCTGCTGATGAGGCGTCGATGCGCCGGAGGGCGGAGTCACATCACCGGTGCCGGACATGTTGCGAACCAGTGGTTGTGACTGCGAGACGTTCATGCCGAGCACGTGGACTGACGTCGGATCACGGCCGTCCTGCGTATTCTTGTTCATCGCCGGTGAAAGGGCAGGCGCCGTTGTATGCAGTGAGCCTGGATCAGCAGCGACGAGCTTTGAGGCGAGATCCGCCTTGGGAACGTACGAGAGATCGAGACGGCTTCTCCGATACGCACTGCGTTCCGAAAGAGAGCGGCGGAACAGGAGGCGACTGTGCTGATGCAGTGCGTTCAGATGACGATTCGGATGTACCGTCAACGTTACTGCTGCGACTCGTCCGTGGAAGCGCCGGGATTGTCGGTCGATCTGAGACAGTGCTCCAGAGTCTCAGCCAAGGACGTTAACTCGAGGCACTGCGAGACACTGCGAGACCTGCTGATCGATGCTGAGAAGTCGATAGGCGCGAGGTGGGTTGGAGGAATATGCGGCGGTCTGGCAAGGCGTGTGCGGCTTCGCCGTCGCGTGAACTTAAGGCGCGAAGGGTCCATCTGGCGCTCGCTTCGCCTGCCGGCTGCTGACTGCTGTTGCCTGAAAATCACAATTCGCTGCTGACCGTGCGCGCCGGCGCCGCGTGTTGCCTTTGGCTTGGTAGGCATATGCTTGGAACCTCACAGCTCAGCTTCCATCGTCATCAAGCCAGCATGGGTGGCAAGTCCAGCTCTTTAATCAGCCGGCTGAGCCCGACATCGACTTGGACTGATTCTTCGCCGGCAGCAGGCCCGCCACAGAGGCCACTGCTCCGGGCGCGGATCTGAAAACCTGAACGGATCCGAATCGGGGCCGATTCGCACTTCTTCGCAACACGCAAAGCTTGCGGCCGCGCTGAAAAACACACTCCTTTTTTTCTTTTTCTTTTTGCGGGGATTTTTAATTGTTTGATTTCTGAGCGGCGTAAGGCACCTGCGAAATTGCTGAATTCAGCGTCTTGTTGCACCTTGGTTTGCACGCTCAAACCAGCGCCTGAGCCTTTGCTGCTACACTATACTCAAATTAACAGAAAATCAACTTAAATCTGCAAAATGAGTAGGTGTCGAAGCGCGTGCCACGCTTGCGCCCTCCACCAGAGCAACACCCGAGCAGATGCGTCCTCACGAAGAAGGCAGTCCAGCACCATCAGCAATCTCCAGGTTCCTTCGCGACGTTCTCCTGGCCAACGCTACGTCGTGTCGGTCTTCAGCGACATGAGTGCGGCCTATTCGAGCTCGTCTCGTGCGCTGGCTTTCCTCTCCGAGACTTCCGAGGATGCCATCGCCGCGCTCAAAGGTCTCGTGGGAGGTGTCGGCTCCGCCAAGTATCTCGACACCTCCGAGGACAAACTCTCCACCATCGCGACTCAGATCGACTCCAGCAGAGATGAAGACCGCATTGCAGCTCTCACCCGCATCGTCGCCATGATCTCCAAAGGCCGCGACGCCTCTTCTTTCTTGCCAGCCGTCCTCAAGCTCACCTCTTGCGCCAACCTAGACGTGCGCAAGCTCGTCTATATCGTACTCTTGCGCTACGCCAACAGCAATCCCGACCTAACTTTGCTAAGCATCAACAGCTTTCAGCGGGACCTCTCGGATCCCAGCCCGCTCATCCGTGCTATGGCGCTCCGCGTGCTGAGCAGCATCAAGGTCGCCATGGTCTCGCCAATCATGCTCATGGCGGTCACGAAGGCTGCTCGCGACCCGAACCTCTATGTACGCAAGATCGCGGCTCTAGCCATTCCCAAATGCCACTCCATCGACAAGTCGCAGCTCGAGTCGCTGCTCGAGGTTCTGGGCACACTCCTCGCGGATCGCTCTCCCTTTGTGCTTAGCGATGCGCTAGCTGCTTTCCAGCGCGTCTGTCCAAACAACTGGCAACTCATCCACCCCAACTATCGCAGGATCTGCCACGCGCTCTCGGACATGGACGAATGGGGCCAGATCACAGCCATCGAGGTCTTGTCGCGATACGCGCGATCAAACCTGCCTAGACCAAAGGTGGAGGAGAGGTCGATGCCAGAACACGCCGCTGTCGGCCCGTCGCAGAAGCTCGAGAAAGACAGCACTGCCAAGCCACGTCAAACCGAGGAAGCTTCGAATTCGAGCGAAAGACGCAACGATCTCGACGGGCTCGAGGCATTTCTTTCCAGCAACGCTGCAATTCCTCCGTCTTCCTTCGGGGCACGAAGCAAGGACTCCAAGTCATCGGCCGTGTCCCTTCCTATTGTCAGCTCATCCTCCGATCTAGATCGTGATCTCGAGCTGTTGCTCGGAAAGGCTCAAGCTTTGCTGCACAGTCGGAATCCCGCTGTGGTGCTCGCGGTGACCAGGCTGATCTTCTATCTCGCACCGGCGCAAGATCATCGCATGCTCACACGGCCTCTGGTGCGCCTTTTGCGATCCTCGCCCGACGTGTCGTATTTGGTGCTTCTCAACATCCTAGCCATCTCCCGCCACGACCCATCCCTTTTTGCACCGTTCACCACCTCCTTCCTCCTTGGCGCATCGCACGAGGAGCCAATCTTCCTGTCTTTGCTCAAGCTCGACCTCCTCGTCCTGCTGTGTAACGCCAGCAATTGCAGCTTGGTCTTGGCGGAGCTCGGCGCGCACATGCGATCAGCAGACGTGGCCGTCTCCGCTCACGCAGTCGCATGCCTAGGCGAACTCGCGCTTGTCAAGAAGCTCGATGCGAGCTCTGCCTGCTTGTCCATGTTGCTCGACCTGCTACGAAGGCGCAAGTCTGGACCCCGTGTCCACGATTCCACCGTTGCACGTGCGGTCCTCGAAATCAAGAACCTCCTTCAGCTTTCGCCTGAATTGGCCGCTCTGGATGCTGCCCCGGGATCGCGCAGGACGTCGGCCATCGTATATCGCCTGGCCGCCCTTCTGTTTGGTACGACGCCAAAGCCCAACTCGGCCGAAAAGTCGAAGCGCAAGAACGTCAAGCCCAAAGTAGTTGGCAAAGGTGCCATCCTCCATCCGGAAGCACGAGCAAGCATCCTCTGGCTGCTTGGCCAACACGCGCGCCAATCCATCTCGATCTCGACATCTTCCAGTGCAGACGGCAAGAGGGAAGAGACTCGGACGCTGGCGGAGCTGGTCGTGCCAGACGTCCTCCGCCGCTGTGCGGTCAACTTTGCCAACGAATCGTCGGCCGTCAAACTTCAGATCTTGACCACGTCCAGCAAAGTGTTCGCATTCCTACCGACTGCCTTGGTGCCGACGCCGGGAGCTACCGCCGCGGACCAGGGCAGGTCGGAGCAGCTCATGTCCGCGGTCACAGTGCTCCACTTCTATCTCCTCAAGCTCGCACGCTACGACGCCGACTTCGACGTGCGCGATCGTGCTCGCTTCCTCAAAGGACTCACTGCGCCCTTGGCAACAACGCAAGCCCCATCCCCTGCAACGGAGGGCGACAAGGCGGCAGAGTCACATACGGACTCGATCCAAGCGGCGATCGAGTTGGCTGCGCGCACCCTTGGCGAGACTGTTAGCGAGGACGATGCTGATCTGAAGGGCGTCCGGCTGCGCCGGGAGCAGGTGGTCCATGTTCTGTTCGAAGGCAAGGCCTCGCTCGATCCTGCCACATCAACGGTCAGCGAAGGCGACAACGAAGCGGGTCGCTTATTTGGAGGCGGAGAGAAAGCATCAAGCAGGGAATCCGACGGTCCCGAGATCGCCTCTCTCTCGCTCGTCCTCGGGGGCAAGCTCATCAAGGGCTGGCTCAACATCAAGCTACCCGCATGGACCGAGCAGCCGACGCCGGCCTCCCTTCGTGAGCCTCCTTCCGTCTCGCAACCATCGCTTCCGACACTGCAAGGAACCTCGCTGTCCAACCTCAAATCGTTCTCCTCCAGCGATTTCACGGGCAACTCACCGCGGGCGTCGACACCCGTCATTCTCACTCCAGGCAATGGTGCCGGCACTCCATCGTCACGAGTCAGCGGTAACGCTACGCCTACCGAGCTAGACGCATCCGTCGCACCGGCACAGACGCAGCAAAAGTACAAGGATCTCGACTCGTTCCTCGATGAAAGTGACGACGAACAGGAAGCGGCAGATTTGCATCTGGACGACTCGGCTCCCGAAGATGACGACTTCGTCGCCGAAGAGCGTTGGGATGACGATGATGCCGAAGTCGACTTGGACGACGAGGAAGAGGACGAGGACGAGGACGAGGACGAGG